CTCCCCAGCTCCTGTCAACCTCACGTGAGTAGATAAATGGGTACTCTCACTCCGGTGGGAGGAAAAATGCTGGCGGCGCCTTGCAAAAAAGGAGTTGGGAGCAGTTGCCGGTAAGCGCGAAAAACCGTGCGCGCCCGCAAAGGGCGCAAAGCAATGGAGACCCCGCCTCCTGCGCTCGCCAGCTGGGCTCTGCCCTAGGAAGGAGGCTCTGGCAAACCACTTCCGAAAAACAGTTGCCTTGAAAACTGCAAGGACTTGTCCAAGCAGTCACTGCAGGGTCAGCAATGACTGAGCGCAGATTAAAAAAAAAAAAAAATGCAGCTAAAAGGCCATGTAGAATACCTCCTGGCCTTAAATGTGTATATAGACCAGGCAGCATATATATGAAAGGAGGCTCTGGCAAACCACTTCCGAAAAACAGTTGCCTTGAAAACTGCAAGGACTTGTCCAAGCAGTCACTGCAGGGTCAGCAATGACTGAGCGCAGATTAAAAAAAAAAAAAAATGCAGCTAAAAGGTCATGTAGAATACCTCCTGGCCTTAAATGTGTATATAGACCAGGCAGCATATATATGAAAGATGGCTTCCAAATGAAGAGGACAAGTATATCAGCACCTGAGATTTTGTCAAATGGTGTATATGTATATGCAAAGAACCATAATTTCAAGGCTTTCAAAAGCAATCTGAGCTAGGCATTAGATTTCTTTCGTTAACAGATTTAAACATTAAACAACATTAGATGCTTATTATAATGACTAACCTTTTTTAACACATTAGTGCAATACCAGTGGTGCACCTGGAAAGGGTCAAAACCAGGCTGTTCTTTGCTTCTTAACTTTAGATCTAAAGGTCTAATGCTTGCTGTGTTTTCTTCAGAAGTTCCCTCGTAAGATAGCTGTTCATTCAAATCATCCTTTAAAAAAGAATTCCAACTGAGTATCAATTGCATTGGAGAAGAACAAGAAATCAGTCATGTAAAGGCACTTAGCATTTAAACTCCTCCCATATATTTTGCACATACAGTATATACTTAAATAATTTTATCTTTTGTATCTAAAAGAAATCTTTTAGATAATTTAAGCTGATGGGAATGTGGCTACTCTACCAGCGTCCTGCAGTGTAGTGGCTTCCCTGCCTGAACTGGTTTACACTGTGGCAGAGTTGGGAGTGGAGTACCCCAGACTTTAGTGTTAGGGGTTTTCAACTTGCCCTTCTTCAGCATGGACTGAGAGGTAGTTTGTGAGGTCATGGCCTGGCCCTAGCACCTGTGGCAAAACCCAGGTTTTTACAGCCTTCCAGAAGGCCAACAGGATTTGGGCCATCTGGATCTCCTTTGGAAGCTACTCCATAGGACACGTGCTGCAACAGATAAGGCATGCCGGCTGAGTTCTTCAAGATGGCGCTATTTCACTGAGGGGATGCTTGATCTTGTTTTTGCCTCAGGGCAGTGGCAGCGCAATCTGGATATAGAGGATATTAAAATCAGTCCCCTACCATGGTTGGATCACTCTCCGATTGCTTTGGAGTTTTTCATAGCTACTCCCACCATGCAGGGTTTCAGAGGGATCCTCCTGGAATCATGGCTCCTACTTGAGGACCAGATGGCAGCCTTGGCCAGGAGGGCTTATGCATAAATCAACTGCAACTGTTTCTGGATTGGGAGGCTCTCCTCACAATCACTCACACTTTAGTCATCTCCCGTTTGGATTACTGAATCACATTCTACTTGGGTCTGTTCTTAAGTATCACTCAAAAGTTGCACTGGTCCAGAATGCACCAGAGTGGACAGTAATGGCCATACTTCATTGCACCCATACTGCACCACCACCTTATGCCATAAAGGGCATTACAGATGACAACCAGCAGTTCTACCTGGAAATCTACTGGAAGTCTACTGGCAACTCATAGACTTCTAGGTGGAATTCAAGATGCTGGTTGTCATCTGTAAAGCCCTTTATGGCACAAGGCTGATTTATTTGCAGGACTGCTTGTCTCCTATTAATTCTCACTGATCATCAGATCCAGCAAAGTTGGCATGCTCTAGGCCCATGCTATCAAGCAACATCATCTGATAAGACCCAGGAAGGGTGCCTTCTCTGTCATGGCATCTGTCTTGTGGAACAGCTTCCCCCTAATTTAGTCAGCCCCAACCTTGTTGGCCTTCTGAAAGGCCCTGAAGATCTGACTGTTCCCAGGGGCATTGAGCCAGAACATTGAATGAGTGACTCTGAGAGATGTTTTAAGAAGCGTTTTATGAAGTTGAGTGATTGTTCTTGACTGCTGGTTGTTTATTTTTTTAAGTTTTAGGTTTTTGTCTGGTTTTAGATTGCTGTAAACCACTCAGAGTTGTCTTGAAGTGGGTGGCCATATAAACTGAATGAATGAATGAATGAATGAATGAATGAATGAATGAATGAATGAATGAATAAATACTTCTGAGAGAATAATTCAGATTAATATCTATGTATTCAGATCTTTTTTTCAGTAATGTTCACTGGAATAGCATTCAGATACAATTCTGTGTTGTTGTACAACTCACTGAAACTGCAGCTAGGAAAAACTATACATAATTATAAGAAATAAGCATTGTAAGATAGAAGACATCTATAAGCATATGCAACAACAGTAAGTATAGTTTGTGCCAGGCCTGCACAACTTGGAAAGGGAAAAAAGCCACACTGATAAATGAAAAATAATTGCAGGTTGGAAAGGAATACATGGCATGCCGATCAGTTGTTCAGCAACTAGCAATTTATTTTGTTAATATATTAAAATGGCCAAAATTTTAGGAGGCAGCCAAATCTCATTAGGTTTTGGAGTACCCTGCCTGAAATCTTACTCAGGTCTGGGACTGTTTTCAGAGCTTCATGGTTAATACTTGTACCTTGCCAGAAGAATGCTGTGTAATTTAGCAAAACTGCCAGACTAAAGTTTCTAGGGTCCAATAACTTGGGGAATTAGAGAGGCCCCAGTTGTCTGAATCAATAATAGAAGATAACTTAATTTTTTATTCCACCTATATACCCTCCAAATCAAAACAGCAATTTCTCCAATAATTAACAAACTGTACTTGGAGTTAGAGTGATTAATCAAGCTACAAGTTCCTGTTTTAACCTTTGCTCCTAAATGAAATGATTATAGAAAATGACAGACATGATATAAAGCCAACAACCATCTTTCTATTAGCAATCATGTTTATAGTATTTATATAGTTTATATAATATACAATTATATATATGAATCTGATATACTGGGCAGTGGTGGCCCATAACTTGCACAATGACAAGTTATTGTATGTAACAAAGAAAAAATGCTTCAAAAGTCAATTCAGAAAGAGAAATTGTCTTATTTACTCATTGTGCAATTTGTACATTGCTAAATTAAATGCTCTTTCACCAAAAAAAACACAATGATTATAAGTTTATATCTTAAAAAATATAATCTATTATAAATGTACACATTCATATTCTTACATTAATTACATTAATATAATTTTCCTTAAAATAAAATGGAAATAAATGGAAATAAAATTATTTTGTGACACGTACTTTTTTTGTTTCAGTTTTAGAACTCAGAAATCAGTTAATGAAGCACGACAGAGTTTATATACATAAATAAAAGGCATATAATCTCCTAAAGTAACCTTTTATAAATAAATGCAGAAAAGCTGAAAGTGAACAGTGAGGTATTGACTCAGGTATTGACTTTAGGAAGCATTATCACCTCCTTGACTAACCCTTAGCTGCCAGCAGATGCTGCCTCAGGCCACTACACACCTAATTGCTCGGTAAAAAAGCCCGTTTCCCTACCTCATTGAGCTGGATGATGTGATAAATTTGCCTCAGGTATTCACTGCCACCTGGTTTGTGGCAGATATCCAAGGCCATCATGTTTATTTTCTGCTCAGTCAATTCAAGCTCAATAGTTTCCTCTTCTAAGCCTCTACTATCTTTTGCAGTAGTAATTGTACTAAAAAGAAAGAAGGCACAAGTATTACAATAGGAAGTGATTAATATCACCAAAAGACAGAGTCTTAATCCAGGAGACTAATATAGTTACATTTCCATAATCCTTACATTATGCGATTATATGAAAAAACTACGGAAACACAGTTGTGCAAAAGTCCTTCAGTGTAAAGAAGAGAAAAATGTAAGTTTGCAGGTATCTTTTCACTGTTCACAATTACTTTTCTGATTGTGTTTTTAAATATATGTCTCCTCACTTTATGAAACAGAATCCTAATAAAAAGAAAACATAATACTTCAATTTCAAATCATGCTAAGTATAAAAATATAAGACAATTATATGCTTTCTATTTTTCTTAACCAAAAAAGCACATTTTGGGTAACATATCCTTGATTTGTTATAAAATATTTTAAATTCTGATTAACACACCACTCAAGTAATCACTATACTAAGTGCAGTTTTAAAAGGCCTGCATCTTTAAACAAGATTACTAATTGGGTGATTTTATATCACTATTCAATTTGGGGAGAGGACAAATAGTTAAAAGCTTGCACTTTCTTTTTGCATGTGACACCATGGCTGGTTTACTGAACTATCTCCCACTCTAATATTAATCATTTAATATATTGTGATCTGATTTAAGTTTCAAAATGTATGACAGCATTGCATCCATCCTCAATTAGCAATTCAGAAGCTCCAAAATCTAATACAATATGTTTAATTATAATAGAGCCTATAGTGTAACACTGCCAATGAAAACCAAGTATTTTTTCCTATGAATACTAAGTGCAGTGCACTTTAGTATATATCTACTCAGAATTAAGCTTCACTGAGTTCAGTTGGGCCAGATAAACATACATAGGACTGTAGGCATAATTATTAGACTGAAGCAATAAATTTCAGTAATTTAAATCTATTTGCAAAACCCATGTACATACATAGATCCCAGTAATTAATATTATCCCAGATAATATATCACTTTAGAACATTCAAGATGGGGAATAATTTGAAAATATAAACACTACAATTTAATTCTGCTGATACATGCTATCATTATATATGATCTAAAAGTTTCCAAAGAAGTACATCTTTACAACCATAGCAAAATTAAAAAGTAGTGTTTTGAAGTTGTATAGTGGTACAGCTGAATTTTATGTCAAGCTGCTTACAGGATGACATTGAAAAAGTTGAGGCCCTCTGACAAATGACTGTTTCAGTGTCAGCACACAAACTGTATCCTTTCCTGTCCATCACTGTGCAGGTGAAGCAAATGATTGGATTCAGTCAGTGTTGTGATTAATGAGTTCCTCTCTAGATTTGGGACTGCCTATCAATCATGTCATTAGGGAGAATGTGCCCTGAAAGAGGCAGACCTCAGCCAAGGAATAACTGCATTCATCTTAATCTTTATATGCACCCAGTCAGGCAACTCAGGGTCACCATAATGAAAAATAATAATGTTCGACTCAACAAATTGCATTGAAAAGCAGACATTTCTTTTGAGACTGTGTATTCTCCACAATCTTAGTTGACAAATTATAATTTGGGTGCTAACAATAAAGTGAAGGTTATTTTAATCAATAGTAATGTTTTAAAGTAATGTACAAGACAGACAATGAATACAATTGTCACTTTTCTCATGACTCTTTGTCTATTATTTCTATAAAGATGAAATTATATCTATGTTTATTAATTGTAATATTTTATTAAGCTAAGATTATGTTCTTCATATTAATCAAAACTACATTTCATAATTTAATTTTCCTAAAATATACAAAAATACACTGCATAGTTAGAAAAATGCACACAATCAAGTTTAATAAATGTCACAAGTAGATAGTAATATAGTCAATATCCTAAATACAAATACAAATACAATATCCTAAACTTTCCTTTCTAGCTTAAATTTTCCTGGTTTAGATGAGAACTAAAACTCTGATTTTTCAAGTGGCCATTTATTCAAAACAGAGGTGTGCCAACTAGAGCACACAGTTTCATATTTCCAAGGACTCTGTCCCCTGTCTAAGCATGGCTGGCCCTAGTCAAACCTATTTCCTTCATAAAGTTGCTGAACAGCCATCTTCTTTCTATCCATGCCCACTGATGGAAATCAAACAATTCCCTATATCCTTTGGCTAATAGGCAATATAGGAGACCTACTCTTTGAATTTCACCTTTAGCAGCAATGATTTCCAGGACTGTCACAAAATTCTGCACTAATGCTATTGCAATCCTGAAGAATAGTAATCACAGTAGAGCACAACTTCTACTGGGTAGAATCTTAGGGTCCTCCAGCAGAATTTTAACTACTTTTATATGATGCATTACATTTTTCTATAATAAAGTAGGTTATTCCTTAACTATCTTAGCACTGGGTAAGTTTAGCTTGGAGAAAAGTGAACTAGACAACATCATAGCTATCTTCAAGAATCTGAAGGGTTGTCATGTAGAAGTTCGAGTAGACTTGTTCAGCACTCTTCCAGAAGAGAAGACAAGAAACAACAGGCTTAAATCACAAGGAAGCAGATTTCAATGGGACATCAAGGTCCTGATGGTAAAAGCTGTTCAACAATGTAATGAACTGCCTTGGAAGGTGTGGGTCAACTCCTCTGGTGATTATAATCACCCACTGATAGCGGACTGGAGGAGAGAAGCACCACATACTGTAAATTGATTCCACTGACTGCTTCCAAAAATGCTCCAAATTTTTTTCCTTCTGAAGTGGAACACTGACACTGATGCAGGAAGATGTAAGAGCAAAGGTCACATCCCTATGAGAAGAGAAGGCATTTGACAGAGCATTGGTTAATCTAATAATTCCACTGCCAGTGGCTCTGTTATATCAGGGAAAAATTAACTTCAGTAGATGCTTTGCCTCCTTTTTCTTCTTCTTATGAAGATTTTCAAACTTCAGAAGCTGAAGACTTGTGCTTTTATTTTGGACACAAATTAACCTTCCATAAGGAGTGGCAGAATCCACTGATGTCAAGCCTGACATGATTGATTGTACTATGGAAGAGCCCATCAGTATATAATTATATTCTCTCACCTTCACAGTAAATTGTGTCTCCAAACAGGTGGTCCAGCCATGGAGGCCACAGCAGAAGAAACAGTATGAATTGGAATGGAATGGGAAGGTGAGAATTCTATGGCCTGCTCTTACAGTAAAGACTGCAAGCAGATTCTCCTATAACTGCTTTGGAAAAGCTTGGCAATAACTATAAGCATCAACAGTGTGCCCTTCCCCCAAGAACAAGAGGCCAAGGATTCTTTTCTGAGAGAGAGAACATTGCCTCATCAGACACACTTTTGAAAAGGTGCTTTATGGCTCTAGGATGAAACGTAAATCATGTTGAACTACTTGAGCTTAAATTATGTTATCAAATAGGAATGTGCCTCAAATATTAACCACATCCTAATACATACCCACAATGGATATTTAAACAATGACCAAAATACATCTTTGTGAATTTAACTCTATTGCCACCAATACAACAGTCTCTTCAGTTAAGAGCTTTTACACATATAAAGCACACTGAAAGAACTCAATTTGTTTGGGAAATAGCAAAAATATAAATAATACAACAAAACCCAATTATTTTAGTGGGAGAAATTAGCAGCCTACTATAATATAAAAAGTAAAATGATAATTACATTAAGCACAAAAAATGTAAAAGCATTTTAGAAGTGAGACTCGGCTATATTGAGGAACTTGGGTGTTAAATGTGAATTATCTTTTACATTTTTCTACTTGTTTAGTTTAATCTGCCTGGAACATCAGCAAAAGGAAACTAGATTTGCTGGGTTACCAATTTCCACTGGATCTCTGAAACTCCATGGTATTTGCATCTTTCCTTATACAGTGTTTGGCAGAAAGAAAGAAACCCAAAAATAGAAAAAGAAGAAAATGCAAATCTACATCTTTACTTCAAGGGATCAGGGATTTGGGAAGTGTAGTGAGACTTCAATTCAAAGATAGAAATCCTCCAAAGAGACAGGAAGAGAATTTCAAAAGATTAATTCTTCTATCTAAAGAGTAGAGTGGAGATAGTGGGAAACTGGAGACGCCCACTAAATAATTAAAAGGACTCAAAATAGAATAACCACAGTACTACAAAACAATATAATTTCATGTTCTTCCTTGAATATGACCTCTATGCTATAATATGCTTTTGCATTGTAACCCTTAAGAAATTTCCGTTTAGTTTCATCCTAGCAATCCTGCTTATTCTTCCAGGTGAGAGGCATAGAGCATTTGTACTACTATTTACTCAGAAATTAATGAGGTTGCCCTAATAAAACAGGAATAAAACAGCACAGTCAATTTTAGTATCATCTGGGAAGTATGCAACATATGTATTCTCATAATTAGCAATAAATTAAAGTATGTGATAAAGTTGCATCAGTCAGAAAAACATAAAATATTTAGCTTCATTCAGCTCCTAACAAATCTTCCAACTGCTGGAAACTTAATGTGAAATCTACATGTTAATGCTTTTCTCAAATGCTTCAATTTCCCTTTGAATCTACTGCTATGTTACAATATTAAATGTGCTTATTTTATACCAATCACATAATCCAATAGAAAATTCCTATGTAGAGCACTGCCATGTAGCCTAATTTCCATAACAAAATTCACTGTCAAATTCTTGAAAGGGCAAATAAGGAAATTATTTTTCTTGTTTTCTGTTTATTCTAAGAAGACTTTCTGGGAACTCAGTACTATCTACTTCAAACTTTTATTATAAACTATTTTTATTATAATTAATTATAATAAACTTTTTTATTATAAACTACAGTGGGGCAAAAAAGTATTTAGTCAGCCACCAATAGTGCAAGTTCTCCCACTTAAAAAGATGAGAGAGGCCTGTAATTTTCATCATAGGTATACCTCAACTATGAGAGACAAAATGGGGGAAAAAATC